CTCCACCTGATCCCCCTTCCACCTGGCGTCGAGGATTTCTGCCACATGGCTGCTGCATTCTCTTTCTTCTACGACCGGTCCCGAGTGGCCAGCCCTTCTCGTCCCCCTTCGTACGGTGACAGTAACGACCTGTGAAATACTGGGTGCAGTTTCATGTGGTTGGGTAACCGGAGCCTGAAAGCCACTGGGTTGACCTGTTGAATGACCTCAAAGGGACCCAACCTCCTGGGTCTTAATTTCTTACAACCTCCTTTGAGCAGCAGCCCTTGGGTTGACAGCCACACCCTATCTCCCACCCTTATGGTTTCACCTTCCCTTCGGTTCTTGTCTGCCTGCCTCTTGTATTCTTCCTTCGCCCTTTCTAAGTTGAGTTGGAGCTGACGATGGATTGCTTCCATTTCTTCCACAAAATGCTCGGCTGCCGGGACGCTCCATCTCTCCCCCTCTCCCCCTGGGAAAGCCCTGGGATGACACCCATAATTAGCCAAGAAGGGCTCATCCCTGTGGACACATTCTCGGCATTGTTGTAGGCAAATTCCGCCAGCGCCAACTTTTCTACCCAGTCATTCTCTCTGTCATTGACATAACACCTCAGGTATTGCTGGAGGACACCGTTTGCTCTTTCCGCCTGCCCGTTGGTTTCAGGGTGCCGGGCAGTCGAAAAATTGACCTCCACCTGCAGTAAGCTCATGAGCTTCCTCCAGAACCTGGAAGTAAATTGTTTTCCTCGGTCTGAGACCACCCTCAATGGCACCCCGTGCAACCTAAAAATGTTTTCTACAAATAACTTCGCTGTCTCTTCCGCCGTGACTGCATGCGAGCAAGCTACAAAGTGGCACATCTTTGTTAGTAGGTCTACCACCACCATGATGGCTGTTTTCCCTTTGGACTTCGGCAGATCAGTCATAAAATCTATCGACACTGCCTCCCAAGGTCGTTCTGGGGTTGGTAAGGGTTCTAATAGCCCCGCCGGCGCCCGCCTTTCCCCTTTGGCTCGCTGGCATTGCTCGCACCCTCTTACATACTCACGTACATCTTCCCTCACCTTAGGCCACCAAAATTCCCTGGTGACCAACCACATGGTTTTGTGTTGTCCAAAATGCCCCGCCGTAGGGCTGTCGTGCAACTGCTTGAGTACCCTCCCCTTAACTCTCCTTCAGGGATATACAGTGCCCCTTTGTAATACAAAGCTCCATTTCTTTCCTCGAAACCCCCTGGTTCCTCTCCATCACCCCTAAGACCTCTGAGCTTATTCTGGGCGTATTCATCATTCTCTGTTTCCTCTACCAGTTCTCTTTGTCCCACCAATGCCGCCCCACACACCCAGCGGTCTTCTGGAATGACATGTCTCTCTTCGGGTGCCCCTCCCCTCCAAATATTCAGGTTTGCGTGAGAGAGCGTCCGCCCTAATGTTCTCTGGGCCTGGCACGTAACTAATCTCAAAGTTAAATTTGGAGAACTCCTGGGCCCATCTCACTTGCCGTTGGTTGAGCACTCGTGCCGTCCTCCAATACTCTAGGTTCTTGTGGTCAGTGCACACTTGCACCTTATGTTGTGCGCCAATTAGCAGGTGCCTCCATCTCCGGAACGCCTCATGAATGGCTAGTAGTTCTCGGTCATACACCGTGTAGTTCCTCTCGGATTTGTTCAGCTTTCGCGAAAAAAGGCACACGGTCTCCACTCTGACCCCTTCTTGCCTGGCTGCAGAAGCACCGCCCCAATCGCTCTGTCTGATGCGTCAGTTTCCACTCTCATCGGTTTTGTAAATCCACATGCAGGAGTTGTTGTTCCGAGGCGAAGGCCCTTTTTAGTTCCTCAAATGCTCGCTCCGCCTCCTCAGTCCACACGAACTTCTTCTTACTGCTGAGACAGTCCGTAATGGGCGCCGTCAGGTGGGCAAAGTTTCGGATGAACTTACGATAGAAGTTCCCAAATCCTAGGAACCTCTGCACATCCTTCTTTGTTTTGGGTGTTTTCCATTCCAGCACCGCCTGGACCTTGCCGGGATCCATGGCCAATCCCTTGTCTGACAGGCGATACCCCAGGAATTCCACCTCCTTGGTATGAAACTGACACTTCTCCAGTTTCACCCACAGCTGGTTGGCTTGCAGCCTGCTCAACACTTCTCTGACGTCTCTCACATGCTGCTCCTCATTCTCAGAATACACCAACACGTCGTCTAAAGGCCACACAATTCTTGTAAAGCAAAGGCCCCAGGACGTGGTTCATAAACGATTGAAATGTTGCGGAGCCTGCTTGTAGGCCGAAGGGCATAACCAAATATTCAAATGCCCCTAAAGGGGTGAACATAGTGGTTTTCCATTCATCCCCCTTCCTTATTCGTACCAGGTTGTACGCCCCCCTTAGGTCCAGCTTTGTGAAAATCTTTCCCTTCCGCACCCTTGTCAAAATGTCGTCAATCCTGGGCATAGGGAAGGCTACTGGTTCTGACACTGCATTTAAGGCCCTGAAGTCACACACCAGCCTCGGCTTGTTCGTGTTTTCTTATCCACAAAAAACACTGGGCTGCCCCCACCGCCCTGGACTCTCTGATGAACCCTCTCTTCAGGTTCTTGTCAATGAACTCTCTTAACTCCTGCATCTCTCTGTCTGACATGGCGTACAGCTTGCCTACAGGGAGCTGTGCTCCAGGGAGTAAGTTGATTTGACAGTCAAAGGGTCTATGCGGGGGTAGTTGGTCAGCTTCCCTTTCGCTGAAGACGTCACGGAGATCTGCATATTGTCGTGGTACCTTCACGTTCTCTGTTACTTCAGTCCCTGCTAGGGTGGCTTGGACCCCTGCCAAACCCTTTCCCTCTTTGCAGTGTTCTAAGCAATGTGCTGAACCAAAAGAAACCACTCTCTGATGCCAGCCCACCAGCGGATCATGTAACGCTAGCCAGCTCATCCCCAATATAATGGGAGCTCCTCCCAAGGTGGCCACATTAAAAGCTATCAGTTCGGTGTGCCTTGCTACCTTCATTATCATTGGGACGGTCTGCAAGCTGACTTCTCCACCCAACAGCTCCCTGCCATCGATCGTGGTCACCTGCAGGGGGCTGCTTAAAGGATTGTCTGTATCTGGTGTTCAGCTGCAAACTCTTTGCTCATGAAATTGCAGGAGCTGCCTGAGTCCAACAGCGCCTTTATCTTTAGAGGGTGTCCGTTTGGCAGCTCTAGCGTCACTTCTATCACTAGGGCGGGTTTAGGAGGTTCTGGCGTGGGCACTCTCACTGCTCTTTGGCCTGGCTGCTGTGCCTGACAGTGGCAGCCAGGCGTTGGCTTTTACTTGCTCCGGTATTTTTCCTCTCTTCCATCCACAGCTCCTACCATCCCTTGCCATTCTTTCCTCTGGGGGCAGACTCTGGCAAAGTGACCTGGCTGTTGGCAGAGATAGCATTTCCGGGCGCCTTTTCCCTCCTTCTTTGCCCCCTCACTGGGCTGTGAAACTGCGCGCGCGCGCGCGGTTCCGATTTCCATCGGCTCTGCCGGTGGGAAAGTTGGCTCTGGAATGTCTGGAATGCGGAACTCCTTCCAACGTTCCCCTTTCCCTTCCCGCCTCTCCAATGCTCTCGCCTCCTGGCGCGCTCCTATGGCCAGCGCTGATTTGGTCAGCTGGTCCATAGACTCCGCCCTGGGCGCCCGGGAAAGTTCGTCTTTCACAGCCGAAGAAAGCCCTTCTTCAAAGAGCATTTGAATGGGTTCCGCCGATAAGTCCCACCCCAATCTGTGAACAAGCATGGTGAACTCAGTCCAGTACTCACGGACAGATCGGCTCCCCTGTTTGCAACCCATTAACTGTCTGCGCACCACTCCCTTTTCAATATCGCTGGAAAACATCAGATCCATGGCGCGAAAGAACTTCATCGTGTCCTTTAAGACGTCACTATTCGCTGCCATCAGGGGTCTAACCCAGTCTCTCGCCCCCTTTTCAAGATGCTCAATCACGAAAGCCACTCGTGATTCCTCGTCAGGAATTCATCAAACTGCAGATTGAGGGCATATTGCATTTCTGTCCGAAAACCATGATAGTTTTGGGCTCCCCCAAACTTCTGCACCAATCCTGGTACCTTTCTGGCGAACTGGGTGGCTTTCCCCTTTTGTCTGCATCCTGAGCCCTCCTCTCCTCAAGCCTCGCCGTCTGCATCGCTAGCTGGACCTCCAACATCTGGTACCTTTCTTCCAGGCTTGGACCCGCTCCAGCTCCTGCTTCTCCGGTTCCGGCTGGGTTGCTCATGATGCCTTCTCCTGCACAAGCTGCTTTCAAAGACTGTCGGAATGCTGTGATGGGATGATGAGCTGCTTGTGCAGGAGAAGGCATCATAGTGGCAACCGAACGGCTGGAGGCGAGTCACTGGAAGAAGGCACTTGTTGAGTCCAGCTAGCGGGCGCGGGCCTTGACGGATGCGAGCAAGGGAAAGCCACCCAGTTCGCCAGGGTGGTGCAGGAACGGGGAGGCAAAACGTCGTGGTTTTCGGACAGAAAGTATTAATGCACTCAATCTACAGTTAATGAATTCCCCTGACGAGAATCTGGTGGCTGTGATTCTCGTCAGGAATTCATCAAACTGCAGATTGAGTGCATATTGCATTTCTGTCCGAAAACCATGATAGTTTTTGGGCTCCCCCCCAAACTTCTGCACCAATCCTGGTACCTTTCTGGCGAACTGGGTGGCTTTTTCCCCCTTTTGTCTAAATCCTGAGCCTCTCTCCTCAAGCCTCGCCTGTCTGCATCGCTAGCTGGACCTCCAACATCTGGTACCTTTCTTCCAGGCTTAGACCCGCTCCAGCTCCCATAGCTTCTCCGGTTCCGGCTGGAAGAAGGTACCAGATTTGGAGGTCCAGCTAGCGATGCAGACGGCGGGAACGAGGAGAGGGAGGGCTCAGGATGCAGACAAAGGAAAGCCACCCCAGTTCGCCAGAAAATTGCCAGGCTTGGTGCAGAAGTTTGGGGGGGGAGCCCAAAAACTATCATGGTTTTCGGACAGAAATGCAATATGCCCTCAATCTGCAGTTTGATGAATTCCCTGACGAGGAATCACGAAAGCCACTCGTGATTCCTCGTCAGGGAATTCATCAAACTGCAGATTGAGGGCATATTGCATTTCTGTCCGAAAACCATGATAGTTTTTGGGCTCCCCCCCAAACTTCTGCACCAATCCTGGTACCTTTCTGGCGAACTGGGTGGCTTTCCCCTTTTGGTCTGCATCCTGAGCCCTCCTCTCCTCAAGCCTCGCCGTCTGCATCGCTAGCTGGACCTCCAACATCTGGTACCTTTCTTCCAGGCTTGGACCCGCTCCAGCTCCTGCTTCTCCGGTTCCGGCTGGGTTGCTCATGATGCCTTCTCCTGCACAAGCTGCTTTCAAAGACTGTCGGAATGCTGTGATGGGATGATGAGCTGCTTGTGCGTAAAATCGTATCCCCTCAGAGTTTGTTCAAGTCCACAAACCTCTGTCTGTGACGGAGCCCCTCAGACATGGCTACTCTAGTCACTAGCAGATTCCGACAGTGGTTGCTTTCGTGATCGCTTCCAACATAAAAGCTCCTTAACGGAAACACGTCTTCTGGAATCTCTGCGTGACAGTTTCCGGCGAGGAGTGGGTGTTCTTACAGGAGGTCCTGAAACCTCCCCACTGTTTTCGCTGGAAGTGTCTCTGAGCCATCCCTCCAGCTCCGCTCCTCTCCCCCTGCTGGTTCCCTCTTCAGCTGCTGCGTCTCTCCCAACCTGTGTGAGCCCTTTCACCTCCCTGTTGGTTCCCTCTTCAGCTGCTGCGTCTCTCCCAACCTGTGTGAGCCCTTTCACCTCCCTGCTGGTTCCCTCTTCAGCTGCTGCGTCTCTCCCAACCTGTGTGAGCCCTTTCACCTCCCTTCCGTCCGATGGCAGTTCCCTGACAGACACCATGCCAAACAAGTTGCAGTTTCCTCTCTGGGAGCCAGCACGCTAGCACTGAGCCTTTGTTTGGCATAGCACTACATGTAAACATGGCAATGATGAGCCTTATGTTTGAATGCTTCGCCATAGAAAAAGGAGAGAAGCATTCGAAACTAGCTTTCTTGTGTGCTAATTTACATGTAGGCAACTTTTGACTTGGATTTCCTGTTTTAATCTTCCTTCCCCTGCCTTTCTACCTAAAAGCAACATTACTTTTCTGGGCTTCTTCATGTGTAGACAGACTCTAAAGCAAATAAAAGCTGATCGTTATATAACCATATACACATACATGGTGTATTGGGAGTCAAGAATACTAATAAATGCGATTTTTTTTTATAAAAAAAATGGATGTAAAATCATAGGCGTAAGGAACCAAAACTCCAAATAGTGTGAATAAGCTGGTGCTTAAAAGACATTCCTGGAGTGACCTTTCTTCTTGCAGATCAGATTCCTTATTGGAAGAGCTGTACATAAAGCAGCTCTTTCAGTCCATGTGTTTATGTACAAGCGGGCACACTTTTCACTCTCCATAGCTCTGCTCTCTCTCAGCCACCAGCAGACTCAGTAAAACATTCAGGAATACAACTACTGCATTGATGTTAACACCCTATGGTTTCCCCTCGAAGATTTAAACAGCAATTGATTAATTTCCATGCTCACAGTGGGGCATTACAATTCCATCTGGCTCATATGACTGAACAGAAGCAATCTACAACCACAAAGCTAAAAAGTTCACAAAAGTGCTGTAATCCAGGACACTATCTGGTTACATACTGCAATGCCTCACCCCCTGCAGTATCTAATTCTATCATCTCCCCCTTTGTAAAATCTTACTGATTTGCTATCATCTGCTTCCATTCCTCCTGCCACCCCAATTGATTTAATTTAAGGGAAGATTTCGAATCAGGAAAAGAACTGCTATAATTTGCCCTCCTGGTCTAACACTCCCTTCTCCACACTGTGGTTCAACTCAAAATCTTATACTTTATTCCCCTATGTGGTTGACATCAAAGTTAATTCCAAAAAGAACATGTGGGCAGGTATATGACATATACTTGCTAAAGGGAAGAATTCAGAAAACCATGCACAATACTAAATCAGGCTGCTTGCATGTGTCAGGAAGTCTTCCATTCCACCAAGCTGCAAACAGAAAGGACATAAGAGAAACACATATGAGAGGCCCTCCCCAACATTCACCTAGTGGCAGCCATTCCATCTGAATGTGGATCAGAGAGAAGGGAAGGGAAGCAGGGCAGTTCCATCAGTGCTGCTGAGAAACCAGCTATCTCTGGCTCTTCCTCAACTCTCAGTTAGATGAAGCCATTCCATTACACTAAGTGAATTTTTTCCATCCAGGTCTTTGCAAGAAGTGTGGCTTTGGAAACTGGTGTTTGGGTGTATTTTTGTTCTTCTTCCTCCCTGTGACTTTTTTCCTGTTGTGTCGCACCTTTTAGATTTTAAGCTGGAATTCATGGATGGGCTTGCAATTCATTTCCTTATTATCTGTAAGCCATGCTTTTCTGCTGGAAAGCAGGATAGATATTGTTTTGGCTGGAAAGTAGGATTTAAATAAATTAATTGATATATGTATGGGGGCGGGGGGGGGGCGGGAATACAGTCCATCCCTAGTCTAGGCAGTAACAACTAGACCATAATCAAGACATAAGACGTCAGCTTCCAGTTAGGATCATAATTTTGTTCTTTAGGGTTCTTTTGTTCACAAAGGTTTCTGTTGAAAGATTTTTACTTGTTTTCTCTTCACATAGTCCCCACATGTTACCTTTGCACATATGCAATTACAAACCCCTGGTCTGAAAAACAACAACACCCAATGCTAGGAGTCTGGCGCATGCAGTAATTTTACTATGGCCTATTAATCACTATCTTTTGAAGAAGAAATTAAACCATTCCTATCAGTTCAGGGAGCATATAACAATGAAAGATTAGATATATTTCTCTTGTAAGTGCAAAAGTACATTAATTATGGAAGAATAAAAAAAGACCAGAGATAATTTATTTAAAGATTTGGGTCAATTTGTTTTTAATATTTATTTCGAGTTATTTAAGGAGTTATTTAAGGAGATTACTTAAGGTACTTCTTAGCAAAGCACACACAGTGAAGAGTTATATGGTCTCCTCTTTCATTTCTTCCTTGCAATCTTGAGCACTGATCACAAGATTTTACTGCAGAAAATGCCCATATGGGAAAGTGCAGGTGTGGCTCTCACACTCAAATTTCAAAAGAAATTTTCTGACCTTTGATTAAGTCAACTGAGTCAAAACATGCTGCCCCAATAGGATTCTGAACCGAATCATTATCAATGATTCCTCTCATTGATCCCCCCCCCCCATACCTCATGCCCCAATCTGGCTTCCTTCACATGTAAAGTCAAGCTATGGTTTAGCGTTAGTTGGTTCACGTCCCCTAACCATGGGTAAGGCTTTATCATTTGTTGATTTTTAGTTATTTCATTTATATATCACTCTGCATAAGAAATTCAGAGCGGTGGTTTATAGAATAAAGACAAGGTCACAGCTTATCAAGGGTCAAGCATACTAACCACAGTTGGTTGAAAACTGATGCAAAAGGTCCCAGATACTTCACAGCTACACCAGAGGAAGACAACAAAGTGGAGAATGCATGAGTGGTCCTGCAGCTCCTGCCCCTGATCCCACATAGAGGCAGAGCCTCTGCATATAAGCTGACTGCAGATATGTAGTATGCAATAACTGTTTGATGAGCATTTATGTACATGCAGCCTATACACAAAGAGGTTCTGTGCACAAGGGACAAAGACAATGAAGCTGGAGGCAGGGTCAGAGGGCACATTCCTGCCCCCCTATTAGTTACCTGCACAGGGCTCTTTATGAGAATGTCCGGAAGAGTGACAAGATGAAAATATCACATTACTCCTGAGCACATCAGCATAAAACTTCACTGGGTGGCATAAGCTAATTTAAGTCTTATGTAGGGTCTGAGATCAGAGGCCAGCCTCAGCATCCAATCAATACCCACCATCAAGCAAGCTTTTGATTAGACATTTGGACCACTGCTCTGAGCAGCATAAATATAAGGTCAGCTTAGCCAGGTTCATTCAGCAGATTTCTAATTTGCAGCTAACAGAGCAAAGCAACATTACATCAGGTTTCAGCAAGTAAAAGGTCACACTGCATGGCTACATGGATCTTTAGGAGGAAAAGTTTTAAGGCAAAACACGTACATGATTAATGAAAGAGAAAGTTTTAGGCCAAAAAGGCCATTTTTCTTGATCCGATTGTACTCTCATAAACACTTCATCATAAGTGGCAAAGTCACAGCAAAAGTAAATTAATACCTCATTTAGAAAGAGCTGTTGTGTGCTTCGGTGTTAATATGGGTTGTACACAACTGCACTTCAGTGTCCAGTGTTTAGGGAAAGCTAAGTGTTTTGGTCTGGTTCCCATTCTAGTCTTTGTTAGCACTATGGCCAATAAATAAGGCTTAACCTTTTCCCCTGTTAAGCGGGGAGGAAACTTAACCTACATGCTTTGCATGAAGAAGGTTCTAAGTTCAATTACTAGCTTCTCCGGTGAATAAGGATCAGACAGCACACATGAGAGAGCTCTGGTTCGGACCCTGGATAGATGCCACTAGTCCAAATAGTCAATACTGGGATGGATGGACAAATAGTGTTTCCAAAAGGCTGAGATCCCAAGGGATGTGACATACACACATTATTTGCAGAGCATTTTGTGGACCATTTTTGAAACGACTTCCTAAATGAATCTCACAAACTATTTTTAATCTTTTACACCAGGGGTGGGGAACCTTTGGCCCTCCAGATGTTTCTAAACTGCAACTCCCATTGCTTTTTTTGGGCTGATGGGAGTTGGTGTTCCCTGCCAACTTTGGTCCACGAGATGGTACCACAAAATAGCACATCATAAGTTGCAAATTTTGGATATCTAGACATCTTATATTTTAGCCCAAATTCTCCCTGATGTACACATTTTTGTGTGCAATTTCCCCTAATATAATGCATTTTTGTATGCCATTTTAACCAATATTTGCATCTTTATGCATACCATTCCCCAATATAGACATTTTTTGTACAATACATCAACTGGAAACACAGTTATGCATCAAAACATTTGGAGATATATGAAATTCAAAGCATAACTG